AAGTCTACCTTGAACTTCAAGGGGACGGCACTACACCCGCCAAACCATCAGACAGTACCTCACCTGACTCACAAGATGCTGTAGCCTTCTGGCAAGGCATGTGGTCCTCACCCGTGAACTATAATCAACAAGCAGAGTGGGTAACCACTGCGGAAAGTGACCTTCGAGAAGTTCAAGGACAAGATGAGATGTGTATTTTCATCACGGACGTGCCAGAGCTTTTAGCTGGCATGCCGTATTGGAAGGCGCCAGGCCCAGATGGTGTTCAGTGGTACTGGATGAAGACGTTTACTTCTTTGCATACGGCAATGGTCCGAATGCTTAACGCATGCCTGCAGGATGCCGAAGTGCCAACTTGGATGAATCATGGTCGCACAGTTCTGATCATGAAAGACCCTGGCAAGAGTGCATCTGATGTCACCAATTACCAACCAATTACCTGCCTTCCAGTCATGTGGAAGTTATTCTCCGGCATTCTGAGCAATAAGATCACAGCCCATCTTGAGGCGTCATCTCTGCTGCCTGATGAGCAGAAAGGCTGCAAGCGCGGAATGTTTGGCACTAAAGATCCGCCCGTCCTTGACCTGGCCGCTATAGCGGATAGCAAGCATCTCAGAAACAATTTGGCCATGGCATGGGTCAACTACAAGAAGGGCTATGACATGGTTCCTCACGATTGGATTGAGCGCTGTTCGGAGCTGTTTGGCATACACAAATCCGTACGCAGACGTATGAGTGTTAGCATGGCTCAGTGGAAGGTTGACCTTTGGAACGGCACCAACAACTTGGGATCGGCGCCCATTCAGCGCGGGATTTTGCGGGGTGAGTCCTTATCCCCACTGCTGGTCGTCATCTGCTCCATACCGATCACTATGGCAAATTTCTATCACCGCTGCCACCAATGTTGTAGCTCGCTTTTCTCTACCTGCTCCCAGTCCCGTGCCATCTCCACACTTGTACAAAGGGACGACGATAACTACATTTAGGAAGACTGTTTATTACAAGACGACGACGAAAACACATAACTAGACATGACGAACTGAAGACGAAGACATCATGAACCCAAGACGAAGACAGCTTTTCACACCACAGCAACACGCGCATGCACCAACATGACGTACACACGACGTACACAAAATAACGTACTACAACAGTCTTATGGAAGGTTGATGCAGCCTACTGTTTCAAGGACCAAAACCGTACCAAACTCAACCATCTATGGTACATGGATGACCTCAAGCTGTATGCAAAGAATGAAAATGGGTTGCTATCTCTTGTTCACACTGTTTATGACTGTACTTCCTCCGTATACAAAAACTTCGTGACTTTTTTTTGAAGGCTGCGCATAGCTCTGGAATTGTTCCGTTTGACTTGGAATAACACTCGTGGCATTGTCTAACCTGTTTATTTTATTTATTATTTTATTTATTCACAATCACGTGGCACTAGCCAATGAAATGGTGATGTGGGCGATAGCCAGCCATGGCGGTAATATAGCTAGAGGGGAGAAAGAAAAAGAATGAAAGGGGAACTGAAAAGCAAGAGGAGCTAGGGCAGGGCTGGATATCAACTAGTATGTTGCATTCTGCAGTAGCTGTGTGAATGTATTGTAACATTGGCAGGATTTTAGATGTTGTGGGAGGAGAGACCAATGGCGGTAAGCAAGGAAGAGAGGAGAGGTTATCATAGAGGCAGACCGCGCAATAGGGAAGCGGAGAGAGTTTCTGGTGCGCATGTCTTGAGATTGAGCAAACCAGCTTAGGCAGGAGAGAGCATGAAGAGGAGCAATGCCCAGCTTAATTTTATGAATTGTCTGGCATGCCAAAAAACGCACGCGGACCGAGAGCGGCACAGCAGAAGCAAGGCGGTATAAGTCTGCGCTTGGAGTCAGGCGAGGAAGCCGAAATAATATTTTCAAAAGACGCCTATGCATAACTTCGAGTCGAGCAATCAGTGTTTTAGAAATGCCAGCCCAAATTATGCAGCAGTAATCAAAAATAGGCAGAATGTAAGATGTGTAGATAACATGGCGACAGTCGGTGTGGAGGTGGGTGATGTGTGATGAGAGAAATCCCATTACTGAGCGTACAAGCTATATACAAAAAAAGCAAAAAAAAGCAACTCAGACGAATAAGATTGAGTTTATTCAGAGTCTTCGTCGCTCCTGTCATTGTCACCTGACGATGCCGACTCCGCATCGCCAAAAGTCGCTGCTTCCGCTCGCATTTCGTTCAGATTCTTTTCAGCTGCAATGATGATCTGACGCGGGACTTTGGCTAGCGTACTCTTCATTTCCAGAGCTGTGTACGAATCGAAGTAGTGGTTGCGACTTCGGCGATGATTTGTAAGAAAGGGTTTGCTCCCCACACCGGAGCTCGCGCTATTCCGCCGACTTTACTTGACACTTGACTGACTCACGACTGCCATCCAGAGCACACAAGAAGTCCATCGAACCTTCGACTCGGCAAACCTGCAAGAAAGCACCACTCCCTGCTCAATACACAGTGTTTCGGGGAATTCACCCCTCATCAGTTGAGCTTGAGTAGGCTGAGGAAGATTGTGCCTGAAGAGCACCACTTATATAGTGCTCTCCAGGCACAAACATCACCAGGGATACAAACTTACAGAGACGCTCCGTTTCCAGCGCGACAAACACCTCGTGAACACCAGATAGCAGCATGAGTCAGTGTCGCTCCTGGACGGTGAGACAGACGTCGAGGACCCTCGGTCATGTGTACGAATCGGTGTCGACTATATTCAGTCGTTCCAACCCGCGACCTCCATTATGCCGTGAAACGAGTCGCTCAAGCACATCCACACGCTGCGCATTTTCTCGGCAGGAGAATCCTCCCAGCATTCTACAACGGCTTCGACGAGGTCCCTGCGATTCCGCTAGGCCACAACGGAGATGTCTGACTGGAGTGGAGAGAGGCGAAGAAAGCCAGGTCGTCGACATTCCGATCCGGAGTGTGCACTGGTTGCACGACGACAGAAATGTTTCATCTTTCCGAGCGAGCGGAAACGATTAAATTTATGTTCTCACGCTGCGTATGGGGCCGCGCACCGCAAGTAGATCTACGAGCCTGGCCAGTTTTAGGGCAGTGATTGCCGCGTGAGTCGTGACTCCGTGCTCCAGGCGCGAGCTCCACTTCGTCACGGTGTCAGTTTCGAGCAAGTAAGTGTTAGTTTTTTTGTCATTTGACTCGTGAGTTCCTGTCGGCAACGTCCTCACACGCATGGCTTCCGTGGAGAATCTGTTCGAGATCAACCAAACCTACCTCAACATGAATGTGGGTTGTCGATGACAGCCTTTGGCTTTGGCGCGGTTCGTTGAACAGGTTCTTGCTCAAAAACACTGTTGAAAAAAGTCACGAAGTTTTTGTATACGGAGGAAGTAGTCAAGACATTGGCATGCAGTTTGGTGTGGCAAAATATCCGACGGTTGTTCTAAAGGCAGGAAAGCATGCAGCCTCTGAGGAGATCCTATTGCCCGACCGCTTATCTATCGTGTCGCTACAGCCAGAGGAAACGTACAAACACCTCGGATTCCTGGAAGCTGGAGGTATGGACCGTTCCAATATGAAGACGAAATCCTGCAGGAGTACAAGTGGCATGTGCGACGGGTACTCCGTTCAGCTCTAAACGGCGACAACATCATCACAGCCATCAACACCTGGGCTGGGGCTTTGATACAGTATATTGCTGGTATCTTGGCACGGGCGCAGGATAAGTTGAAATCTCCTGACAGAAGCAAGCTTATGACTATGCATGGAGCTCTCCATCCACGTGCTGATGTAGCCCATATGTACGTCAGTTGCAAGGAGGGTGGACGTGGTTTGAAAAGTATTCATAATGTTCTCAGAATGGCAATCTGCAGCGTTATGTGCTTCAGTCAGACGAGAAACCCCTGAAGGTGGCTGCGCCCATTCTGTGGCCACATCTGGATGCCCCACCAGACTCCTCACAGGTGGTGAAGTGTCGCCTTAAAAAAGAGCACCTCTTGGCGTGGACCCAGAAACCCTTGCATGGATAGTTTGTCCGGCAAACAGAACAACTGAAAAACGAGAACATCTGGAGTTGGCTGACAAAGGCTGGTCTGAAGAATACCACAGAGAGCCTGCTCATCGCGGCACAAGACCAGGCCTTTGCAACTAACCTGCTCCAGGCCCAAATCTTCCATCAGGGCGGAAGTCCCCTTTGTCAAATGTGTGGGAAGGCAGGCGAGTCGGTTGCCCATATCCTATGCGAGTGTTCGAAGCTCGCTGGACGGGATTACTTGGAGTGTCATAATCGGCTGGCCTCCCTGGTCCACTGGTTGCTCTGTTGTGTACATGGGATACCATGTGAAGACAAGTACTACAAGCACCATTGAAAAAAGATTCTGTGGGATTTCACCATCCGGTGCGATCTCTTCGTTGAGCACTGACGGCCTGATATTGTTCTGGTTGATGGACCTGCCAAGACGGCCCTGATCATTGACATTGCGGTACCTGGTGATCCACGAGTCGCTGAAAAGAAAGTTGAGAAACGTGCTAACTATCAACTTCTTTTTCGCGAAATCCATCGCCTATGGCAAGTTGAGACTCAGATTGTTCCTGTGCTAGTTGGGACTTTGGGCACTGTTTCCAAAAAGTTGCCAGGATACCTATCACCAGCTACTGCTCCCTGTCTGAATTGCAAAAGAATGCTCTCCTTGTCTCAGCAGCTATCCTGAATAAGGTCCTTGATTTGTAATGCTCTGGGGTGGGTGGTGGAGTTCTTTCGGTCCTATTTTCCTCCAAACCCTCTCGTGTTTCCTATGATCGATATTAATTTAAAAAAGGCAACACCATCTGATTACTTACTAAACACATAAATCCGTTCATTTCCTGACTTCATTCCGTAATAACCATTGTCTGCACGTACTGTATTTGTATAACAGAAAATATGCTACACATAAATAAACTTGTCTCGAGTCAACAGGCATGCATTTGAACACAGGAGACAATGTCCCAACCAACCTGCTGGAGAAGTGTCCACATTTATTTCCGTATAACCACCGATTCCACCAGATGAACGGTAAGCAACTCTAATGTTATATGTTTTACCAAAGGTCAATCCTGTTATCCAGTAGTCAGTTGCATTTACATTGTTTTTCATGTAGGGTGTGTCCGCTGTGAGTTTGTGTTGCACCACAAAATTAAGAAAACGTCCATTGAGCTCAGTAACCGTTGTTGAGTTCTCCCAAGTTATATGAATATGGGTTTGATTGGTATCCTTTGAGACCTCACTTACCATGCCTGGTTTCACCTCAGGAGCTGCAAGTTGAAAAGAGTCAGAAAACAAGTAGGAGCGAAACAGCTGTCTAGAGGCGTGGAACAATATTATCTCTCAACGGAAGTGTCCTTGCTGGTGTCTGTATGGTTCAGCTGAAGAGCGCGTGGTTGTGATGAGTTGGGAATGCAATGAATAGAAAACAAGTAGATAGAAATATTCCTGTGGACAAGGTCATTAACCCTTTCACCTCTTTGCTTATTCTTCGATACTCGTGAACATGGTGCCCATTTCGAGTTTGTGCCGCACCACGAATGCATCAAAACATCCATTGAGCTGAGAAAGCATTGCTGTTTCCAAAACGGTGTTCTGCCAAGTTATGTGAATGTGGGTTTGGTTAATTGGGTGAGTTTCAGCCCCCTTTGAGTTGGCTGGATTTACTAAAGGTGCTTTTAGGTGGCCATGAAGTCGAGACCCAAGGTCGGAGGAGCTCCCTAAACCTCACCACCTGGTCACAATTCAGGCTGTGCGTGCTTCCCCTAGTTGCATCTCATGTTTGGTACTTTTTTTAAGTGGTCTCTAGAAAAAAGTTGATCGAAATACACCTGTGGACTAGCTGATCAACTCTCCCCAAGAAATGTTGCATGGGGATGCTTGGCAAGAAGACGACGGTGCCAAGACCGGTAAGGCCATCATTTTTTATATCTATGTTTCGCGTCAGTTCAACTTCCAGAATCATATGCGAGAGGTGGAAAGAAATCAAAAGTTGCAAAATAATAAAAAAGGATCATCAGAGGTGTATATCACTTTATACCTCACTCCATATTCACCCACATACAATTCGCCATCTACATAAGTGGTGAATATTGCTGAATATTCACCGCTTATATTCACCACTTACCTCATATTCACCACTTATATTCACCACTTTTCGATACTCACATTGTACTGTAAAGAGAGCAGTACTCGGTGCTGCGCTTGATTCCTCTTCAGTCAGCGCACCGGAGTTATCGAGTGCCCTAGAAAATTTCTACGCTAACTTCCGTAGACAGGACTTTTCTCAGTACAAACGAAATAATTCCTTGCTTGCCATTGCCGCTGGATCCGCATGTGACCAGGTGCTGACAGTGAGCATCTTCACAGACGGAGCGTTCCAGCGAGCAAACAAGGTTTTCGACGCTCAACATGTCAATGGCCCGATGATCGCGGATCAAGTGACAAGCCAGGAATTTCGTTTGTACTCAGAACAGCCCTGTTCAAGGACGTTAGCGTAGAATTTTCCTAGGGCACACAACAGCTCCGAAGCGCTGCCTAAAAAGAAAAGAAGTGAGGGTAGAACCGCTTGGCTCGCTTTTATAAACCAACTCCCGAATTGGCGCGATGATCGCGGATTGGTCAAATCTTCGCGTGAAACGAAACCTCTCTCTGATTGGTTAAATCTTCGCGTGAAACGAAACCTCTCTAATGATTGGCTCCCGCCACAAAGCTGCACGAGCGTGTTCTCCATGATGATTGGCACGAGCGTGTTCTCCAAGGTCGTCACCTCCCATGCCACATGCACCAGTATGCGTACACGGTCAATTGAAAAAGATTCTGGACACGCCGCCCTCCGATTCAGGCAAGAACACGCCAGTCTGTCTGAAGGCTCAGTTAAAAAGCAACAACGACTTACGTTAGTTCTGCGTACATGTACATGTATGACCAACAGGACTCGTTTGTTGAGTTTTAGGGACGAGAGGGTGAATATGGAGAGGTATAAGTCTAATATTACCTTCAGGCTCGTGAATATGGGCGAATATTCACTAGTTATACAAACCTCGGCTTCGTCTCGGTTTGTATACTAGTGAATATTCGCCCATATTCACTCGGCTTCAGGTAATATTATATACGTACTGTACATACTACATAGCCTATTGACTATTGTCAATATCTCGTACATGGTGTACATTCGAAAGAAAAACCGTACATCGAAGCACAAAATCTGGGTTATCTGCAAGAGTAAATATTCACTTTGGACAGAGGAGGCAACCGTTGGTGCCCATGCTTCGCTGGATTATTGTACTCAGCCTTCAGCAACGGTGCAAAGAGCTCCGAAACGACGCATCCACTCAGCTTGAGGCGATCGATGCGGTCTGGTGTAAGCTCAAAGAATTCTGCTCGCAGATGCAGAACAAACGATCTTCCAACGCTGGCCTCGAGGCCAATTCTGAATCCCAGCTTTGCCGTATGCAACCAGTCCACACTGATGACTCGCATGATCGTACCCTCACTGTGCATGTTCGATTTTTTTAATTTTCCGGAAAAATCAAAACGTATGCGTGCGGACGACGCGAAACAGAGATATAAAAAAATGATGGCCTTAAATACTGTATTAAAACCCATTCAGCGCTACTGGGCCTTGCCCTGTTACTCTGCATGTAGGTGCTAAGCACATGGCCTGCTTCCCAAGACAACCAGACACAGACGAATCAAGCCAACGCTCTCTCCCTTAACGATATTTTGGCTCAGTTTCCATCTGTATTCCAAGAGGGTTTGGGAACTATCAAGGGCCATACAGCAACTATTCATTTGCAAGGTTCCCCTGCCCCAAGGAGTTTCAGCGCAAGACTTGTGCCCTATGCATTGAGATCCAAGGTCGAGGCTGAATTGACGAGATTGCAGACTGAAGGGGTAATCAAACCTGTTGACCATGCAGACTGGGCTTCCCCAATTGTCACGGGGCGTAGGAAGGACAACTCTATCCGTCTATGTACTGATTTCAAGGTTACGATAAACAAGCACATAGAACCTAACCAGCACCCGATTCCGAATCCTACCGACCTATTTTCTGAATTGTCTGGGGGACCGGTCTTCTAGATCTTAGTCAGACTTATGCTCAGTTACCTTTGGATGAACAAAGCCAATCGTATTGTGTTATCTCAACGCACAAGGGATCGTTCGCGTTTACTCGATTGCCTTTCGGTGTCAGTTCTGCTCCGTCTATTTTCCAGAAGACCATCGAACAGATCTTACGTGGCATTCCTGGTGTCGTCATCTACTTCGACGATACCTTGATTTCCGGCAAGTCACAACAAGAGCATGATGACCGTCTCCGTACCGTTCTACAGCGCTTTCAACAAGCAGGCATTCGTTTGAGCCGCGAGAAATGCGCCGTCTCTCAGCAGCAGGTTAGTTACCTTGGTTTCACTGTTAGTCAGCAAGGCATACAACCCACGAACGATAAGGTACTTGCAATCATGAATGCCCCTAGGCCAAGTGATGTTTTTGCTCAACGTTCTTTCCTGGGTCTTGTTAACTTCTTCGGGAGGTTCATCCCCAACTGCTCCACACTGCTAAGCCCTCTCAACTCTCTCATGAAGAAAGCTGCTCCATTTGTGTGGTCTAACGATTGTGAAACCGCGTTCTGCAAAGTCAAGCGGTTCCTTGCCACCACTCTGGTCATGGCTCACTACGACCCTACGATCCCACTGGTGCTGGAGTGTGACGCGTCACCTACAGGTATCGGGGCTGCCCTTGTGCATATCATGCCTGACCAATCTATCCGTCCTATTGTGTATGTGTCACGAGCACTGTCACAAGCCGAGAATCACTACAGTCAAATAGAGCGCGAAGCTCTTGCGAATGTGTTTGCTGTTCGTCGCCTCCACCAGTATCTGTATGGCCGACGATTCATCCTTCGAACGGATCATAAGCCATTGGTCAAGATCTTCGGACCGCATGAATCCCTCAGCAAGACATCTGTGTCCCATCTACAGCGCTGGGCCGTCATCTTGGCTGAGTATGATTACACGATTGAACACTTGGCTGGCAAAGATAATGTTACCCCCCCCCCCCCCATTTTGATTGTCTCTCTCGATTACCATTGCCTCTGTCTGCTTCTGAAGAACGTGCTGTTGTGCATGCAGTATCTAGCCATTATTTTGATCCATGTGAGTTAATACCCATTCAAGCTGCAGATGTTGCAAAGGCAAGCAAGCTCGATGGTGAGCTTTCCCTAAGTATGTCATATGCCCAACATGGATGGCCGTCTTCCGTCTCTGACAGGTTAGTCCCTTTCTAGAGAATCAGGCAGGATTTATCAATTGAGCATGACTGTTTGATATGGGGTGCTCGTGTTATCATCCCTGTACATTTTCGCCGTCAGTTACTGTAAGAACTGCATGTATCACACTCAGGTGTCTCTAGTATGAAAAGTGTAGCACGTTGCATCTTTTGGTGGCCTGGTTTGGATGAGGACATAGTCAAGCTAGCTTCTGATTGCGATATTTGTCAGCGCAATGCCCGCTTACCTGCTTCTGAGCCGACTCATCATTGGGCATATTCCAATTCTGCTTTTGAGAGAATCCATTTGGATTATGCTGAATATAATTCTCTGTACTACTGTTGTGTCCTACCCCAGGTGGGTTCTACTCGGACTCATCCAACTCGATCACACACACACTCGAGGCCATTACAGATTTCAGTACATCTCAAACTCCATATCCGAAAAAGACCCAGCTCACTTGCGAGCATGCGCACTACATACATATGGTCCATGTCCAGGACATGACAACTACCTTGTTCTTGTTGATGCATATTCTAAATGGATTGATGTTTTCGAGCTTGGTCATTCTGCACCAGCATCCAAGACTATTGATTTTTTCACGATTCATCAGTGTGTTTGGTATTCCTAGAGTTATCGTTACGGACAATGGTCTTTGTATTTGTATCGCACGAATTTGCTCAGTTCTGTCAAGAGAACGCTATTCAACATCACAGAATACCCCCTTATCACCCCGCCCAGCAACAGCCAGTGCAAACGTATCGTGCAAGAGCTCAAGAAATGCCTTTTAAACTCGGCCGTCCAATCGTTCTGTGTCCGTACAATTGTCTCGTTTTCTATTTTCTTACAGAAATACACCACACACTTGTACAAAACAATCCCCTTCCAATCTTTTGTTAAAGAAGGCTCCCACTACACACTTATCCCTGCTGCAACCCAGCTTTTCCTCTGCCATGCAGCAACAGCACCCTCCCTCGGCTGATCCTCGAAAGCAGTTTGACC